ATATATATATATATATATAATAATATGCACTTATATAGAAATTTCCAAAATACCACAAGTCTAACACTGTATCCATGTTTCGTTTTGTGCTTGTTTGTTTGTTTGTTTGTAGATGGTGTTTACGAATATATAAATTTTAACTGTGCCTTTGTTGTGATGTTATTTAGCATTTGACATAGTTTATTGTAATGCTTTGAACATACATACACACATACATACACATACATCCATACATACATACATACATACAGACATATGTACATAAACACACATACGCGCACCCCTATCTATACCTATATATACCTATGTCTATCCATACAAACAACAAACGAACAAACAAACAATTGAAGAGACCTACAGAGACATATTTGTGGTCGCTTGTTAAAATGGTTGATGTACTTAGTTGTTGATAATATTATTGTTGGTGCGGTGTTGTTGCTACTGCTTTTGCTGTCGCTGTTACTATTGCCGTTAGTTGCCAGTTCCTTTGCCTTGCCTTGCTTGCTCAATAATACTTAATGAGCAATAAAAAATATATAATTCGCTTGTTTGCCCTTTTTTTCTTTCTATTTCCAAATCAGTATTCTAATGCTTTTGTGTTAATTTAGTGAATAGGAAACTAACGGCAACATCGAGTTTATTAAGGAAAATATTTACACACAAAAAATAAATAAATAATAATGCTAAAGTTAAAATAGAAAACAATATTTCCAACATTTTATAAAAGAGGAAGAAAACATTTTTACCCAAAGTAAGTAATTCGACGGGAAAAAGCTCACATAGAAAGTTCAATAGAAACAAAAACTTTCCGATAAATTATAAGGGTTCAAGGTTTTTAAGCGAAATGTTGATATTTTACTTACCAAACGAACTCATACATATTTTATAAAACTGGTAAAATAAATAGAAAACGAGAAAGAAAAATACCTCGAAACGTTTTCAACGTAATTTTCAATACAGAAGAACAAGTTTTCTTTCATTCATTTAATGAAAAACATAGAGTTTATATTTTTCTTCTTTTTTTTTTTTCTTTCTTTAGGCACTTGGACCATTGTTTAGTGCCTTGTATCTCGACTCATCAGCCTCAGCGATTAAAAGTCATTTACAAGTGATAATGACCAAAAATTTATGCGTTTCGTTATTTCATTTCCCTCGATTACCATCTTTAAATGATACTGAGCTCTAAATAATGCTACATTTATCATACATACAATGCCTTCTACCTGCCTTATTGATCTTGATAATCTACATTGCGAACATGATTTACCTCAAAGACTTGAAATTTCGACACTTTTATATATATTAATCGCTACTACATCCGCATAGAGGGTACAAAACCAACTCTTCTGAAAATGTTTCGTGGAGATAATGTTCCAAATGTTTCATGGGGATAAAACCAATTTCTCCACCAGTTGAGCTCATTAATAAGATTGCTCGTCTTTCTTGACGTTTCTTTAAATCGATTAGTATAATAAATGAAGGATCTATCTCAAATCTCTCTGATTATTATGTATACATGCACAAAACACTTAACATACCCATAACCCAAGCGATGTATTGTGAAATAAAGGTCAAAAATATTGTTTGTAAATTCGTAACGTATTTATGAATGGGTGGGTGAAGAATTCCTTTTGAATCCAATACAATTTTATTTGTTTTCTTTATTACCATAACCCCTTTCTTCAAAGTTGAGTTCTTCTCAGAAATTTAGAAAGAAAACATTCTTTCAAGACACATCAAAAAAAAGAAATGCAAGAACATTTAAGAAAACTCTTCTTACTCTTTATTACTCAATAATGCTTTGCACATAATTATAAGAGGAATTTATATTTTATACAATTGATTATTGAATCTTAGTTCAATTCGTTGTCCATTCACTGAGTAAATGAATTTTTTTTCTTAAATTTCATTCATCATTCATATCAATGGCATACAAAAGATCGCTTCAAAGCTAACTTTAATGCGATTTTAAAGAACATTAATGTTTTCTTTATTCATATGAATTAAACAGTCAATTAATAAAAACCCTTTCCATATTGATTTCGCTTTCGTGATACGATTACTGAGATGGTCACAAAAAATTTGCAAAAACTTCAATTTTTCTTCTTTCTTTTCTTTCAACTAATTTCAAGAGCAGATGTACGTGAATATTACATAACATATTTGAGCAATCATTTCCGCACTTCGTCTGAGGAATTGAAAACCCAAAATGCTTTGATAAATACGTCTTATAAAGAGTTGGCAAGCTAATAAACCCCATTTGATGTATTTCACAATCTACCGACTTCTTATGTTTGTATAACAATGTGTTCAATATAAGATTGCAATGCACATGCATTTGTTTGTAGGAATGTTGCGACATTGAAATGCAAGGTTTATGTTAGAAACAAAATCGCTAATATTTTAGATGCTTTCGCGACCAGAGACAGTAATATAGTTAATCATTTCTTTCATTTATTTTTTTATAACTTATATATTTGAAAATTATCGATTCAGAAAAATCGCCGTTTTTATGTTGTCACAAGTCTGTGAATGTCATTAACCATTAAAAGAGAAGTTTTCATACGTTCACCTGTTAACATCAATTATGCCATCAATAGTTTGGTTATTTGCCGTTAATATAAAATTGTTATTGTAAAATTTGGTTTGCTCTGAGAGAAAATTTCTCAATAACTTGGCAGCATTGGGAGATCATTGGCATTGTTATTTTAAAAAGCAGAATTTTTACTCTTAAAGAAGATTTGTGTAATAACAGAGCAGTAATCGAATAGACGATTTTTTCTCTCGGAAAAACTGGCTACGAATTGTGTGAATTTCTTGTTGCGAGAGCAGTTCAGAGTTGAGGGCGTTTAGATAGGAAGCGGTTTCTTACTTAATTTTTTCGCGGCCTTTTAAGTTTCTTGTAATAAAAGATATAGGGACAATGAGTTATTACACGATAATTTCACAAATAATAGAAACTATGGTAGAAAATGATGACGAAACTAAGGAGTTACTTAAAAAAATAGAGAGTGCATATCGCGAGAAGATGGAATTGGAAAGACAAGTAAAAGGTAAGAGCGCAGAAACAAAATGGCGTATAAAATTCAATGTGTTCAAAATTAATTCCCATGCTTAGAAAGATAGTCAAGCGTCATTGTTTGCTCTTTCTTATTCCAAAACTTGTATTATATTGCAATTATTTGTTAACATGATTAATCTTTTTCTAGAAGAGGAAAAGGAGCTGGAATTGCTCCAACAACATTCCTTCACCGTTGACTATATGATTGAGAACTTTGGAAGCCTTATGACATTAATGCATTCCGAAAACCAAGACACGACGCCATTTATTCGCCTCAAAAGAAATTTACAAAGAATAGATTTTTCAAAAATGTTACAGGGCGATATACTAACTACAGTTGAGCAAAGTTACCGTGAAGAATGGGATAAATTGCAAAAGGAATTTGCAGAAGAATTGTCTTGGCAGGAAAAAATGAAGAACCGTAGTATAGGTAATTGTTAATATATTAATATTTACACAAATTTGTCATCTGTGTGCATGAGAACGAAGTTAAGCTACGTTGTTTGCCTATTGATCCGTTACAAATTTTGTGTTAATTTAAATAAACTTCAGTAAAACTAAGATTAACAATAAAAATTTTACATTTGTGCCTAAGTAAAAGCATTATTTTTGCATTTATATATATATATATATATATATATATATATATATATATATCTGTTCTTCATGTAAAGCTCGTTAAAGGAGTTTCATGCTTTACATTCTTCACTACAACAACAACAACAACAACAACAAAATGTAATTAGACGACAGAAAAACATGACCAAATCAAATCTTATTGTTGACTGTTACCAGCTAGATAATAAAACTAATATACTGTCGAAATTTCTATTCAAAGTTCAAGAATATTACCAAAGAACTTCGGCTTTAAATAAAGCTAAACAATCATTCGAAGACATAAAAATAAGTTTGCAGAAGCGCTTGCAAGAAGCTCAAGCCCTGACTAATGCTGCTCGGGACGAAAGGAACATGCTAATCGTTTCAATAATTGAAGGTTCTAAGGAATTAAGAAATGTTCAGGAAGAGGTTGTTCGCTGTATTTCTAAGGTTTCTGAAATTCTAATGTAAATTAAATATTTATAGCACCATCAATTGGTTACATTTAAGGAGAAGATTCAGCAATTGAAAGATCGGAAGTTGGAATTGCAAATAGAGTTAAGCAAGTTACCGACACCCTTACCAACTATGGTGGATTTTTTATATTTTTACTTCGAGTTTTGTAATTTAATAACTTGACTTTTTTCTTAACGTAGGATTTACAAACAAGCTCCACACCTTTCCAAGCTCAATTTCAAATGGCTGCATTTCCTTTTTTAACAAATATCATGCAAAACGTTAATTCATCTCTTAATAACAAAATTCCTTCGCTGACTACTGTCCCCATTTCGGAAGCATTCGGAACAGTCAGTGCTCCAACTGTGAATTCTGTATATTCTCCAAAAAAAAATGATGGACATGTACATTTTAAAAAGCCCACGACTAATACAAATCTTGCGGTTGACTCAAATCGCGTGGATTCAAATTTCAAATCGAATATAGAGTCCAAAAAACTAATTACTGGTAACAGAGTTACGGATGACTTGAACAGCGTGTGTACGACTTTTGAATGCAATGTCGGATGTGAAAACCCCATCAACAGTGAGAATACAATCTCTGAGTTGAGTATCGGTATTGAAAAGATCGTGGTGGATGAGAAAATTGAAAACAAGACGTACTCTATTTCTGAATTGAGTGCTGAAGATCGACGACAACAATCTCACATTCCTGAAGAGGTAATACTACAAGAAACGGAGGAGGAAAAACCTGATGAAGCGGCTGAAAATGTAATTAACTTAAAAAATCCAGAAAAGATTTCAAAGCCAAAAATTGAGATATTAGAAAATGTGGTTCTTAAATTACCTAAGCTTGTTAATGTCGCCGAAAAGAAGGAGCCTGACGACGAAAAAATCATTGGCGACGTTAAGGATCAAGAAACTACAAAAGAATCAGAATTGTTTTCTTTATCTTCTTCTTCTAAGCAACTTGCAGCCAGTTTTACACCTTCTAAAGATTTCAGTGCATATTTCAAAACGAGTGCCTTTTTATCGGACGACATTTCGAGGAATAATGACAAGGTGCCGGTGGAGAAAAAGAAAAGTGAAGATGTTCCACTTACGGAAAAAATGGTCGTCAACTCAGAGATAGGGGATTTCGGCTTTGCTTCGAAAAGTTTCATGTCTAATGCCAGTGATAAAAATAATGACCAAGATGATAAAAGCGACTTTCTATAAACATCACATTCATCACACATAGTTATATAAAATGATTAGTCAGCTACCTAATCAATAGCAAGTTACGTAAACATACGTTCAACGTGAATTCTTATATAAAATTGACGGCGTTCAATGAATAACTAATGTAAAAGTGAATTCATTCATTTATAAATAATATTTTCTACACTATTACACCTTAAGAAAACAAACATTCAACCTACATTTTTATATAACGTAAATAGTTCCATAGATGATCAACCGAAATGAGAAAATCCTTCTTTAATAATCTTTTTTTTTTCGTTTATTATCTTTATACAAGTTTACGTGAACATATATTTAACCTACATTCTCATATGAAACTAATAGTTTATAATTAGAAATTAAACATGTGAAGAAATTTCTTTATTAATCGTTTTTTTCTATTACTTTTTTTAAATACACATTCAACATACATTTATCTATGAAATTATTAATGCAGGATAAACGGACAGGCTCCTCGTTTAATTATTTTCTTATTATACTGGTTTATATTACATTGAATAACTAAGTAAATTGTTTACATATAATTATTTTTGCTTAAATAAAATTGGAACAACAAAATTTTGCTTATATAATAAAAAAACGAATATAATCTCTTTTGCTATTTTTACCGAAAGATATCAGATTTGTTCATCGTTTGTAGCACGCATAAATATACTGTGTATAGATACTCCGCAAAAAATAAAATATTGATCACTGAGAGCTTTTGATTGTTGCCTTATCGTATGTCCGTTGTATGTCATTTATTGGAATGCTTGCGGGCATATGTATTCTTAATGTGTTGCCAAATAGTAAGTTGGGATACGTATATAATTTATCTACTGTGGATGAACATTGCACTAAAGCTGCGTTGCATTGGAATTTTCTTTATAAAACTTGGAATTTACGCCTAACTGTAAGAACTTGTACATTGTGTATAGTTTTAGCCATTGTGACGTACCGCCAATGATAGGAGCTTCTGATAGCGTTTACTTATCGTCGTATTCGGGATTTTGTATTAAAGTTGCAATAGACACGATACAACTCTTCTATATCAGTTTTGTAATCAAAAAGAAGGCTTCTTAAGAAAAGTAGAAAAGAATCTAAAAAAAAAAATAGGAACGTTACAGTCGGGCAAGGCCGATCATTACATGCCCTACACCACTTCGCCTAGTACAAAGGCCTAGTTTTCATGAATGCCCACTTATTGGACCACTACATGGCCAAAACATCACATGGCGTAATCCAAATTTAGCAAACTTAATTCAAATTTTATTATTTTTTCACTTTCCGTTATAGCAAACACAAAGATAGATATTCTCTCCATATAAGGGCTCGCTGTTCTTGATGACCTCTGTATGAGTTAGGGTCTAAAAAATACGTCGTCACTACATCGTTGTACTAAATTTCTACTAAGGACCAATTTTCATCATAAAATACTAAAAATTAAATCTCTTTCTGAAGGCGTCACTTTTGCTTAGGAACTAAGAAAGAGATCCATGTGTTTGAAATTTGGTCCACTTCATTTTTATGTCAACTTACTACCATAAAGAAATTTTCCTAATAAAACATTAGCTTTTAGGCCTGTTTGGCCTATAAGGCTTACATTTCCTGAGAATCCTTGTATACCGTCATATCCAAAAAATAGACCTACCTAGGCCAAAATCAATAAGGTTGATTTCTATGTCATGTCTCTCATGAAGTAATTTTCACCATAAAGAAATAATATTTATACTTCACTGCATAAAAATCCGATTTTCGTAGGAATGGTTATATGAGAGGGGACTTGAAACATTGCCCCAGCCAAACCAAATTTTCCATAACAATTTATAATGTCGAAATACTGCTATATAGTGAATTTTGTTCAAAAATTTTGAAAATTTTTTTTTTTTTTGTATGGGGGTTGGTCGAAAACGCGGAACGATCCGAACCATTTTGAATAGCACGCTCAATAGCAACGTAAAGAGAAAATTGTCCAACTTGTGTGTAGTGAAAACTGGTTGGCCTATAGTAGTGATTCGACAAAACAATTAACTGCACATAATTTGGAAACCGTAAACCAATTGTTTAGACTGCTTTCCCTAGAAGAGTTGTAATAAAAAGAAATCCTGTACAGGACAAAAACGTTTAATTTTTAATATTTTATGAAACGAATTGTTCCGCAATAGTAGTTTGACATAAAAGTTGGCTATATGAAGGTGGGTTTATTACTTGCACTCCTTTCCATGGAAAACAAGCTTCCAGATCGCAAGGGAGTGTGATGTTTAGTACCTTACCTAATCCAAATAGGTAAAGAATAATATATGAGGCCGCCTGATGGCCGAAATACTTGCCGACGCAAGGGACGCCAAGGTTCTTCATAAGAAATTAATTTTTTTTTTTTCGGGACGCTTCGTTCGGGGAATTTTCGTCGCTTACTTTTTCGGTAATCGAAACACAGAACAACAAAACGGAAGTTGTCGGTCCCTCGAGTCGGATGACAGTGGGAGTCATCTGATGCGTACGTCCTACAAGGTTGCCTCTTGGCAACCTTACTGTATGGGTTTCCCCAAATTCGTCCTTTGTCATGATTTAGCTTATCGCTAACTTAATCTAATACTTCCTCGGAAAATTAATTCGCTAAATTTTGGCCTTGATAGTTCACGTTTTAGTCACTCTTCCTTATAAGGGTTTCCATACAATGTATGCCCCTACTTGGGTATAAGTTATAATGTATGGCATTTAACCACGAAAACAAATGAAATATTGTATTAGGCGAAATAGGAAAGAGTTTGCAATGATCGGCTAATATCCTGCGCCAATATAGTAACCTAGTATCGTATAATGAACATATTGAGGGAAAATGTTGTGACAATAGCTGTTACGTATGTCTTTATTATAACAAGTATAATGTGATATATGGACAATTAAAACAACATAATATACATGCGTATGTGTAGTTTAAAAACATTCATTACATAGGTGAAATGAAAACCAATATTTCTTCTTTTCATCGCTGGAGAAAATTCATCTGCAGTATTTTGGTACATGAGCGTTAATTAGTGGATGTGTATGTAATTGTTTATCTCGCTTTAGGTTAAGTTTTGTAAAATGTTAAATAAATGTTTATTTTTCATTCAAAAGTTTTTCTCTCAATTTCTCCGCAAGGTCAATGTAAACACAAACCGAGCTGATTGCAACAAACCGTAAACCAAAGCATTTTTTCTTCTTTTTTTTTTCTATTCTTTATAACCATTTCATTTGCTTAAACGAAAGAAAAGATAACAAATTAAATAAACACGTTTTCATGAGATAGCCTTGTAAGCAGATCAAATTATTATGAAAAACTTATGACCTCTACGCTCTGTAATGAAATGGAAGCCACACATTTTTGTTGATTGTAAGAAACTATTAGTGTACGGGTGTTGTGTTGTAATCAAAAGCGGAATATACTTTGACACTTTCATTCCATGATCCAACATTGAAAATGTAACTTCGAGACTTAAAAGATTCCAAACATTTTAGCCTATGACATTAGGTGCTTGGATCATTTCATGATCATTTCTTTTTTCTTTTTTTTTTTTGTTTATATACAGCTATACATAGAATGGACATATAAAACGATTAATTAATTGAAAGGAGAAGTGTGCAAAGTTGCCGAACTTTACTTAATGCAGTTATTTGAATTAATAGTTGACGTTTTGTTTTTACTTCATAACGTATGTAACGCCCAAAAAGACGCTTCGGTCACCCTATAAAGTAAATGCATTGTTGATCAGCGGGAAATTCTGAATTGATTCATCCATGTCTGTCCGTCTCTGCGGATTTTGTTGTTGGCACTCTTCTGGCCGCAAAAATTAAGATATCGACCTCAAATTTGGTGGAAATACTGGAAGTTTTTGCACGCAGGTTGCCATTGAAAATGGACCCAATTGATCAGAGCACAAGTCCACGATAGAGTGCAAACTGAGCACAATTCCGTTTTTCTTAACAAAAATTTGTGATTTTTTTTATGGGCTTGCTACTCAGAAATTATAAAAGGTTAGTAAGCTAAAATTTTCCGAACTTATAGACAAAATCGGCCATGCCCCAAACAAAGTTATAAGTGATTAAACTTTATTTCTTTAACTTTTTTGATGTTTTATGCTTATTTATCATAAGGCAAACGTAACGGAATATTTAAAACTATTCTGTACATTGCTCAAATGAAGATGTATTATCTGCCTAAAAGTGGGTTAATTCTAAAATGAATATGGTAGACACCGCAGCCTGGTGGATTAATTTTTTCTTAATAATAGCAGCGATATGGGTATCAAATAAAAGAATTTGGAGAGTAGAAAGGGAAAGGCATAGTAGTGAGTATGCGAGATTCGGCCACTCCCCGAATATAACTTTCTTATTTGTTTAATTCAAATTTTCCCATTTGTCGCTATCAACTTGTGCACACTGCACTTGTGCACTTGTGCACTTGTGCACTATCCGCGTGCATTAGATATATTGTTGGCAAACTTAAATAAGACGACTATCAATAGCTGTACATCATCTAAATTGCCGTTTTTGCAATTACCCCATTCAAGCGCACTTATAATGGTACATAATAGTCACTATTGATCCTTTGTCCATTTCCAAGATGGTCGATGGATAGCACACCATGCGTATTCCAAAATTGTCTTCTGAATCTGAGGCTTTTGCCTTGCTTTCACCGCTCGCTGCCCATTTCGCTGATTGCCGATTTGTCTCTAGTGTATCGTGATGACTCCATGTTTCATCCATTCCCATATATCCAAGGGGTATGTCCTTTTTACTTTGCCTAAACGATTCCAAGGCGTTGTTGTTTTTGGTCGAAAGTGAGGAAATACGACACCTACTTTGGAGAAACCCTTCTCGTGGACAAACACTCATACGAAATAGTTTACACACTGCCTTTAGATATCACCAAAGTGTCAATTTTCTTACGTAACTTCACTCCTCTCGCTTCGCTTCCAAAACGGTTTTATGCATTTTTGCATATTTTCTAAAAC